CAAGATGGAGAAGATGCCCACGGGTTAGGAAGAAAGAGGAGAGAGCGGTGTGAGAAGAAGCCACAGGACCCCAGAGAGGCCTCGCTGGCCTGGCGCCTGGGGATGGCAGTAGAGACAGCAGACCCCCATGGGGCCAGGGCGCAGAAGCCTGGGCGGTGACACCGGGAACAGCTTGTCTTCAAAGGGCACAGTGTTTTTAGGGATGAAAGGCTGGAATCCACGATTTAACAGAAGGGAGGACTGAGGGACTGAAGGCCACATGGCTCCCTGAGTGCTAATCCTGTCAGAACACATACCTACTTGTCCCAGCTCCTCTCTGCTTTTATTTCTCTTTTATCCGTTCCTCCTGACTACCAGGGGCCTCATGCCTCATGTTCAAAGTGGAAGCTCATAAATGCTGTTAGTGACCTTACTTCCCTCCTATCCTTGGAGGGTTTGGATTTTTTTTGTGGGGACTGGGATTTGAACTCAGGGCCTTGCACTTGCCAGGCAGGAGCTCTACCCCTTGAATTATGCCCCCAGTCTTTTTTGCTTTTAGTTTATTTGTTGGACAGGGTTTCCTGTTTTTGCCTGGGGCTGGCCTCTGTCTGAGATTCTCCTACCTCTGCCTCTCGAGTAGCTGGGATTACAGGTTTGTACAACCACCCATGGCCCTTAGGATCTGGATTTTTTAAAGATGACATCTAGAAGAAGCAATGCCTAACCCCAAAGTTCAAAAATGACAAAATTTCAGGCTCTGTGACAGATGGACAGACAGAGAGTTTTTGGAGCCTCTGCTTCCAGGATGCCCAAGACAGGCCACAGTGAAGACTCTCAGCTGCTTTGATGCCTGACTGTGACTAGTCGAGGATAAGCCTCGGAAACAAGGGATAGTCTTTCTTTCTTTAATATTTTAACTTTTCACATTGAAATGATTTAGGACTTGCAAAAAAATCATAACAAAGCCTTGACCCAACATCTCAAAATATAAATATTGTATATCCCCAACAATAATGAAACCAGGAGGTTAGCATGGATTAAAACACTGTGTTCAAATTATGTTATCTATCCTGTTAATGTCCTTTTTCTAGCTTTTTTTTCTTGTAGTACTGGAACTTGAACTCAGGGCCTACACCTTAAGCCACTCCCCCAGCCCTTTTCTGTGATGGGTTTTCTTCGAGATAGGGTCTCAAAAACTGTTTGCCCAGAGCTGGCTTCGAACCATGCACGATCCTCCAGATCTCTGCCTCCTGAATAGCTAGGACTACAGGCCACCAGCTCCTGGCTATTTTTATTTTTGTTTATTTAGGGGTTTATTTGGGTTTTTGTTTTTGTTTTTTTCTTTTTTAGTATTGGGGTTTGAACTCAGGGCCTCACACTTGCTAGCCAAGTGCTCTACCACTTGAGCCACAACCCTGGCCTTTTATTTAGTTTTTGAGTTAGGGTCTTTCTATGTAGCCTAGGCTGGTCTTGAACTCACAATCCTCCTCCCTCAGCCTCCCAAGTGCTGGGATTACACCACACCTGTCTTGAAATTCTTAATATTTTTTTGAATAAAGTCCCCTCCTTTTCATTTTGCACAGGGCCTCAAATACATTCTAGCCATTCCCCTCTGGATGAACCCTTTCCAAGGGGCCAGATTTCCACTCTCATCGTGAACTCCAGCCAGCTCGCCTGTAGTTCCAACGTGGATTTGAATGAACTTGCCCTGTGCAGGGAGGAGAGAGGAAGGACATGAGCGACGTTGCTCATAGTCTGAGAGCAAGATGCAGCCTAGATTTGGGGAGCATCGCAAAAGCACCCAAGGGGACTGGGAGGTTGACAACAGATCAAGTACGGAGCTGGGGACAAGTAGACAGGAGATGGCAGGTTGAAGCTAGATCGTGGGTCTGTGGCTTGAGAGGAGAGGCTGGGATCCTTCAGAATTCTGCTCAAAGGCCAGGCCTCGTGGGAATATGACCAGCCAGCCAGGTAGCTGGGAACATCTCTTATCAGGTGACATCCCTTTCCTCTCCCTGATTGGTGGCAGGGCCACAAATGAACTCTTCCAGAAAGGGAAATCTCTGTCCATCTTGATGCCTCCTGGGCTGTTTGCCCTCCCTCTTGTCTCACCTGCCCCTCGGCCCTGACCCCTGGGCCCCCAGCCAGTTCCCTGGGCTCAGCCAGTGAGGGAGGAGCAGGGCCGCAGGAGAGAAAGGTGCAGGCTGCCTGACGCCAAGAAGTCTGCAGGTGCTAAGTTCATTCCGTGACTGCAGTTCCCACCGGGCAGACCCACAGGCTTTAGACTCCACAAGGGATTCTTCTTCTTTGTCCTTCTGTGGCTTCCTGCTGCTGCAAGTCTCTGATTCCCAGGGTGATTTCACAGCCCCTCCAACACCCAAACCAAGTCTGTGTATCAGAGCCTCTTGATTTTTTTTTTTTTTTTTTTTTGGTGGGACTGGGCTTTGAACTCAGGGCTTCACACTTGCAAAGCAGGTGCTCTACAGCTTGAACCACACCTCCAGTTCATTTTGCTCTGGTTATTTCAGAGATGGGGGGGTCTCGTGAACTATTTACCCAGATTGGTCTCAAACCTCAGTCCTCCTCGTCTCAGCCTCCCAAGTAGCTGGATTACAGGCATGAGGCCCCATCACCTGGTCCTTTGTTTTGTTTTGTTTTTTTTCAGTATTGGGGATTGAATCCAGGGCCTCCCACTTGCTTGCCAGTGCTCTACCACTTGAGCCACACCTCCAGCCCTGATTGAAATATGGAAGCCCCGGGTTCTGCTTGATGATTGCATCCTTAGATACCTGTGCAAAAGAGATGTCTCTCCTTCCTCATTCCCTCACCTTTGTCTAAACCACTCCCAGTTCCCACACCTGGCATGGGGTCATGACACCAGTGCTGCCCTCCCCGCACCCCAGGAGACTTTTTGATCACAGTTGTCCACACTTACGAAGCAGGAGTTATTCCCAGTGGTCTTGGTGTTTCCGCAGGCCTCCCGCACAGGCTTTTCCTGGATGATTTGATCCTCCAGCGACCCTTGACTCAGAAGGAAGCCCAAGGAGGGGTGGTCAGCTCCTGCCTGGGACGAAATCCAAGGGACTTGGGGTTGCAAATGACTAATCCGGGATGGGAATGGCCTTGGAGAGGCTGGGAAACCAGGGACCAGACGGGCCATGTGTCACACCCTGGGGGAAGTCTGTTCCTCTGTGGCCCTGTGACATCAGGGGGGTGCCTGGGGACACTGGAAGGAATGATTCTTAGCTATCCACTCCTTACTTTGCTTTTGGTCGTGAGACCCCTGTGCAATCTTTGTCAGCTTTCAAGTTTCTGCTTCTCTGTCAGTGATGCTCCTTGTCCCCAAGACAGAAACAGCTTAACAAGGGACCCTCTCAGAGCCTGGTCTGGTCCACTTCCTCCCTGTGTGATGCCACCCAAGTCACTCTGCCTAAGCCTCAGCCTTACCATCCGGAAAATGGCACCAACTTCCAGAGCAGCTGAGAACCAGATGGGCTCTGCTGTGTGGACCCAGAAGCCTACAGAAAGAGCTGGACACCATGTCCTCCCAAGGTGGGGCAGAAGCCCTACCTTCTTATTCATGAACTGTGTGCCAGTATTGCCAAAGTACTGGATGACCTCCTTTGTGTTCTCGGTCTTGCCAGCACCAGATCCTCTACTGCAGGTAGAAGATGACAGGATGCCGGGCACCATGGCTCATGCCTATAATCCCAGCTACTCAGGAGGCAGAGATCAGGAGGATCGCAGTTCAAAGCCAGCCTGAGTAGATAGTTCTTGAGACCCTATCTTGAAAAAACCCTTCATGAGAAAGGATGGGTGGAGAAATTCAAGGTGTAGGCCCTGAGTTCAAACCTCAATACCACCACCAAAAAACCAAACCAAACCAAACCAAAAAAAACGAAGAACAGAAAATGACAGTAGGTGAGGGAGGCAGGAAGAGGAGGTCTGGTTACAGGAATAGGAAACCATTTTTGTCCTTCAGCCTGGACAGCCAGGCAGGTGGGGACATGAGGACTCCCCTCTATAGTTTAGCAGGTGCGGCCTTCCTGGCTCTGGTGAGCCCACTGGCTGCCTACAGAATTCTACTCATAGTCTCCTAATTAATTCTAAAGAGGCTTAATTATGTGTGTAAGGCACAGACCTAATTATATGTGTAGACTGAGAGGCAGAAGAGACACTTAGGTAATTAGCACCGATGTAGGAGGAGGGGAACAGAACCAGGAAGGTGTCATTAGCAGGCGTTTACAAATGAGGCGGTCACCCTTCCCACACAGCCCTCCCTGAACCCAGCCCAGGCAAACAGTCCGTGAGACCCCATCTCCAAACTAACCAGAGCTTCATGGTAAAGGGCCTGCTATGCAAGTGTGAAGTCTGGAGTTCAAACCCCAATGCCACCAAAAAAGAAAAGAAAAAAATCTCCTAACAGAGCCACCTTACTGTAAGGCAAAGATCGTACAGGAGATGGTTAAGCGTTAAATTCCCGGCACTCCCTGCGTTTGTGAGGCTGGAGGGAGCTAGGGTGTGAGGTAGAGACGGGTGGCACTTAGCAAAGCACTTCACTCGGGTGGGAAGGGAGAGGGACTTTAGGGACAGGGTTGGGACTGAGTAACACATCTGGAACCATCACTGTTCTCCCACCAGACACCAGACCTCACTGCCACCCATCCACGAGCATGTCGCCGTGGCATTGTTGAGATGGAGAAGAGGCGGGTGACATCTCAGTGTGGTCCTTGCCCTTGTACTTGTTGGCCACATGGGCTCCATGGATGGGCAGCCACCTGGAGGGGCTGAGTGTCACACAAAGCAAGCCCGAGTAGGTCTGGTGGGGAGAAGATGAAGATGGTGGGGCAGCTCTTGCTCCTCGGGCCCCTCCTCCCTCACCTAGTTCCCGGGGACAACACAGATGTCTCTGAGATGTAGCGATGGTCTTTCTGGGAGCAAAAGATTTCTGTCTGGATCTCCACTCCACAAATATTTATTTAGTGGAGTAAATAAATTCTTTTGCTTTATAATTCAAACAGGTATCACAGTCACTTGTGTGGACATGTCCACAGGAAAAAGTCCCCCTACCTGCTTGATGCCTGGCCTCCCTCCTCCCACAGGTGAGCACTGTTTTCTTATATGCGAGCAAATCCAGAGAAATCCTTCTGGTTTTAAAATAATGTTGGTTTTTTTTTTTTGACAGTACTGGGGTTTGAACTCAGGGTCTCATGATAGCCAGGCAGGGGCTCGACCACTTGAGCCACTCCACCAACTCTGTAAATGCTATTTTCATTCTTCAGCAGGGTCTTCACTATGTAGCCCAGGCTGGCCTGGAACTCACAATCTTCCTGCCTCAGCTTCCTGAGTACTGGGATTACAGGTGTGTTCCACCACACTTGGACTTTATAGCACTATTTTATATCTCACTTTTGCCAGTTAATAACACAGAAAGCCTTTCCATCATGGCTCACTGAGCGATTTCTGGGTGTTTAAACAGCTGTGGAGTGCTCACTGTGTGGGCCCAGTCCTCTACTTATGGGCAGCTGGGTTTGATCTACTCTTAAGAGACCCCAACTTCTCTTTTTACTCAAGATTGCCATTTTGTAAGAGTTATTCCATTAAAAAAAACCAGGAAGGCGATTGTGGTGATGCACACCTGTAATCCCAGCATTTGGGAGGCTGAAACAGGAGCATAGGGAGTTCGAGACCAGCCTGAGCTATATAGTGAGACCCTGTCTCAAAACACCAATAAACCAAACAGACAAAACAAACAAGGTCAGAATAATCAGTGAGGTTGAAAAAAATGATGAGAGGAGAGGCAGAGTAAGCAGCGACAGAGAAGGCTGGATCAGTGGGTCTCCAGCTTCCTCCTCGCTTTGTCGGATGGTCATGTTGACTCTGCTGTCCCCCTGTGTGACCCCCAACCCAAATAGAAAGCCTTGCCATCGGTCCAAGTGGGATAAATACCGTCAGCTTCTTCCCATTTTGTTTTTTTTTGGCAGTACTGGGATTTGAACTCAGGACCTACACCATGAGCCACTCCACCAGTCCTTTTTTGTGAAGGGTGTTTTTGAGATAGGGTCTCTTGAACTATTTCCCCAAGCTGGCTTTGAGCCATGATCCTCCTGATCTCCACCTCCTGAGTAGCTGGGATTACAGGCGTGAGCCACCCTGCCCAGCCATTATGTTGAATTTTTAAAAGGGACCATTAATTAGGAAGAGATCAAAAGAAAAAGAAGCAAAGAGAGCTCCTGATGACAGTGTGATACATGATGTCCTCCTGGGACTTCGGCCACTGTCACTGTTTCCCTCCAGCTGGAGGTGGGGGCAGGTACTCTGAAAGGCCATCACACCCGTGTTTTGCACAGGAGGGATGTGAGGGGGAAGTAACTGGGTGCAGGGAAAGTTCTGGTTGTTCAACTGTTGGTTCAAAGCGAGTGCTTTAGTTTAAGCAGTGACCCCTGTGCTGGTCCCCAGGCCACACTGTGCAGAGCTCGCTGTCCCCCAGCCCAAGACACGGTGTGGCTTTCTACAAGGAGCGAGGATCTGTGGCCCCGAAGGAAGTCTCAGCATGAACTTGGCTGCCAAGTGCACAATCAGCCATGGGTGGATGTGGTTCTTCCTGAACTCGAGTTCCAAGGACACCCCGCTGCCCTCCAGGCCCAGCCAACATCTGCAAAAGCTTCCCAGAGAGCTGGAGGTCGGAGGCCACAGCCAAAACAGCATCAGTAGGGCAGGAGGAAGAGGCAAGGGCAGCCATCTTGGCTGGAACTGTTGCAGGAAATGGTGAGGGAAACAAAGTCACCGAGACCATTTTCCCAGGAAGCAGGAATTTGATTACACTAGCAGACTCAGGGGAGATCAGTTCTCAGAGTTATATCCCCCCGGGGGGGTTGCGTAACCGGGGGGTCTTTGCAGTATATGGTTCACAGGGGGTCAGAAAGACTTGTCAGTGACAGAGAAACAGGTCGTAACAGAGCTTCCCCGACCCCCGGCCCCCTACAGAATGTGGTCACAGTCACAGGAAACCTTGCAGAGCTAGCTGGGGGTCTGTGACACTTTTGAGCTTGCAGAAAGCTGCTTGTAGACTCAGAGTAGGGGATTCAAGGTAAATTCTAGACACACAGTAAATCCCAGAAAAATAGCCATGTTGGCTCCAACAGAACCACAGATGGGAGCAGAAGTCCTCAGTAGCCTCTGACCTTGAACTCAGGCCCCACCTGTGCATTCCCACTGGATGCACAGCTTTGCTTTCTTAGGGAAGCCATCTGGAGAGACAAACACCGAAAGTTCCCCGTACAGCCCATCTGGGAGGTTAGCCACCAGCACCTGCGGGGCGTCCCCTCCCTCCCTCAGGATTGCCAGGGCACGCAAGCAACCGCTCTGCTCCGCCCCTCGATCCAACAGAAACGGAACGGTTGCGAAAGGCAGCCCGTGCTCCTTCCTGTGTCCCTCAGGCTGCCCTCAAGTCACATTCCCTTGATGTTTGTTGACTGTGTGGATGCATGCATGTTTGCATGGATTGATGGGTGGGTGGGTGGATGGACTGATGAGTGGGTGGATGAGGGTGGGTGGTGGATGGGTGGATGGATGGACGGGTGGATGGGTGGATGGATGGATGGGTGAATGGAGGGGTGGGTGGATGGGTGGATGGGTGGATGGATGGGTGGATGGATGGGTGGATGGAGGGGTGGATGGATGGGTGGATGGAGGGGTGGATGGGTGGGTGGGTGGATGGATGGGTGGATGGATGGATGGTGGATGGGTGGATGGATGGAGGGGTGGATGGAGGGGTGGATGGAGGGGTGGATGGATGGGTGGATGAGGGTGGATGGGTGGGTGTGGATGGATGGTGGTGGATGGATGGGTGATGGGTGGATGGGTGGATGGAGGATGGTGGATGGGTGGCTGGATGGTGGATGGTGGATGGAGGGTGGATGGATGGATGGATGGGTGGGTGGATGGGTGGATGGGTGGATGGAGGGGTGGATGGAGGGGTGGATAGGTAGGTGGATGGATGGTGGATGGATGGTGGATGGTGATGGGTGGTGGGTGATGGATGGGTGGATGGGTGGATGGATGGGTGGATGGAGGGATGATGGTGGTGGGTGGATGGAGGGTGGATGGATGGATGGGTGGTGGATGGGTGGATGGATGGGTGGATGGAGGGTGGATGGGTGGATGGATGGATGGGTGGCTGGATGGATGGGTGGATGGAGGGGTGGATGGGTTGGTGGGTGGATGGATGGGTGGATGGATGGATGGGTGGATGGATGGGTGGATGGAGGGGTGGATGGGTGGATGGGTGGATGGAGGGGTGGATGGATGGATGGGTGGATGGATGGGTGGATGGATGGGTGGAGGGTGGATGGAGGGTGGAGGTGATGGATGTGTGGATGATGGTGGATGGAGGGTGTGGATGGAGGAGTGGATGGGTTGATGGTGGATGGATGGATGGGTGGATGGAGGAGTGGATGGGTGGATGGGTGGATGGATGGGGTGGCTGGATGGATGGGGGAGTGGATGGGTGGATGGATGGATGGATGGTGGATGACTGAAGAATGGATGACTAAATGGATGGATGGATGACTGGATGGACAGAGAGGGACTTCTAATAAGACCTCAGAAGTCACTAGGGGAAAATGGCATTTTGCCTGGAGGGCTAGAGTGGGGGTGTAAGTAAAAAAGTTTTTGGGTGACAGGCTCATAAAAGAATATTTCACCTGCCATGGGGCTGGCGCCACCCCTGAGAAGCTGAAGGCTCAGGGCAGAAGTTCTAACATGTGGGAAACATGGCCGCTGTGCTCTTGCCTGAGTCCTAATGTGCAGAGGGATCTTCGGAGGGCTGAGTAGCTTCCTCCGCTAAGAGGGGCCAAGGACACCCCCACCTTTCCTGTCACCCTCGTCCACCAGCCACTCACATAGATCTTTGTGTGGGGGTAGTATTGTCACAGATCATCCAGGACACGGGCCTTATTCAGGAAGGTCGCGTCCGCCATGTCTCTGGTAGAATTTGTGGGGGGTGGGCTTCATCTGCCGGACGACACCCTTCTTCACAGTGAGTGACTGCAGGGGTGGGGCTAAGACACGGCATGTGCACTAGGAAATGGTGACCTCGCAGCCACAGCAACATCTGGCATAGGCCCACACCCCCTCTGGTGTCCTGGAGGAGCTGGAGGGAGGCACCAGTTGGCCTGGCTCCTGTCCAGACACATCAGGGTGACTCCCGAGGCCATCTCAGCCTTCACGATGTCCCCTCTGCAGCCGCATGGCTGGTTGCTGGTTATGTGGACCTAAGAGTGGTGATGTCAAAACAGCAGTGAACTTCCTCCCCACCTTGTTTTTTTTTTTTTTTGAGGTACTGGGATTTGAACTCAGGACCTTGCACTTGACAGACAGTCCCTCTCCCACTTGAGCCAGGCATGCAGCCCCTTTTTATTTTAGTTATTTTTCAAGTAGGGTCTCATGTGTTTGCTCAGGGCCAGCCTGAATCTGATCCTCCCACCTAAACCTCCTGCATAGCTTGGATGACAGGCCTGCACCACCACACCCAGCTCATTGGTTGAGATGGGGTCAAGCTAACATTTTGCTTGCACTGGGCTTGAACTGCAATCCTCCTGATCTCCATCTCCCAAGTAGCTGGGATTACAGGAATGCACCTCCACACCTGACTCATTTAAAAGAAACAAAAGACATTTTTTTATTCCCACCAAACCACCTTGAAGAATAAGACCGAAAGCAAGGAAGCAGGGATGAAAACAAAAAGAACAAAAACCACTCAGCAGCGGGTATGACTTGTGCTGCGCAAGGCAGGCAGATCCTCCCCGACTCTGCACGCCACCGTCCTCTCCCAAACGAAACCTAGCACTAGCTCTAAACCCCAGTGCCTGGGAGCGGAGCTTAAGACTCGTGAGCCAGAAAACAAATATTTTCTTCAGCTGCCTGCAGCCCTAGAAGTCAGGCTTGACTGCATCCTGGGATTTCTGAAGCTTTTCGTGATTTATGACTATAACAGACAGATAATTTGAAATGTCCACAGTCCGGGAAAATCCATCCAGCAGTGGTCACCACACCTCCAGTAAGTCAAGCTGTTTGTTTTTTTTTTTCTTGATGGTACTGGGTTTGAACTCAGGGCCTCACACTTGCTAGGCAGGCGCTCTACCACTTGAGCCACTCCTCCAGCCCTTTTTTGTGATGGGTTTTTTTGAGATAGGGTCTCACTAACTATTTGCCCCGGTTGGCTTCGAGTCTTGATCATCCTGAGTAGCTGGGATTACAGGCATGAACCACTGGCACCCAGCTCATTTTTAAGGTTTTTTTTTTGAGAGAAGGTCTAGTTATATAAACATGCTGGCCTTGAATTTGCAATCTCCTGCCTCAGCCTCCCAAGTGCTGTAATTACAGAAGTGTGTCACCATCCTGGGTCATTTTAGTGGGTTTTTTTTTGAGATGGTTTCTCTATGTAGCCCAGTTGGCCTCAAATTTACAATCCTGCTGCCTCAGCCTCTGAGGAATCTCTATGTGGGGAACCACACAGGCATGCGGGGAGCCGGGATTATAAGTGTGTACACCACTCTGGTACAATATCGCAGAGTTGTGCAGCATTCAAGAGAGCTGATTTGCACTTAGCTCCGTCACCTCGGGGCTTTCTTCCCGCCCCCTCTCCCTTTTGGAAGCTACAAGCACTCAACTTAAATTTCCCTTAATCATTTGTCATCCGTGACAGCTCAATTGCATTGGCATTTTGCTGTCTGGTTTCTGTGGGTCCACGTAACACAGACGAAAGTCACCAGGGAGATGAGACCAAATTCCTCATCAAAAGGAAACTCAAAGTGTCAACAAAGTCAGGTTAGGAAACACTCGACTTGTCATTAAGACAGACATCTGCCCACGTGTAAGGGCTGGGTTGCCCCTTCCTCCTCCTCCTTTCCTTCCTCCCTTCCTCCCGTCCTTCCTTCCTGGGTAGCTGGGATTACAGGCGTGTGCCACCACACATGGCTGCTGGGTTGTTCTTCAATTTCTGTAAGGGGAGAAGTAGGGGAAAGAAATTCTCCCTTGTTTGTACCAGTCAGGCTGCTTGCATATTTTTTTAAAAAACTGGGATTCTGCTAGGAATCACGAGCTATGGTACCATTACTCATGTTCCCTGGGTAGAGACCCTAGCAGCCAGGCACTGCCTTCGGGGGACCCAGAGGTCTCTGACACCAGACTCCATCTCTTTCAGTAACCACTTTAGGACCCTGTGTCAAACACTCCTTGCTCCCTCCCTTCCCCGACAACAGCTCTTCTTGGACGTCTTTGCTAATAACGATCTGTTTTCTGAAATCATGAACCACAGAACAGAAAAAAATGTAACTTGCAGGCTGGGTGCTGATGGCTCACGCCAGCTACTCAGGAGGCAGAGATCAGGAGGATCGAGGTTCGAAACCAGCCCTGGGCAAATAGTTCATGAGGCCCCATCTCAAAAAAAACCCATTGTATAACAGGGCTGGTGGAGTGGCTCAAGGTGTAGGCCCTGAGTTCAAACTCTAGTATTGAAAAAAAAAAAAAGTAAATAAAATAAAATGAAAACCAAGGGACTGGAACACCACGGCTTAAGTGGCAGAGCACTCACCCAGCAAGTGCAAGGCTCTGGGTTCAAACTCCAGTACTACAGGGAACAAAACAAAACAAAAGCAGAGCAGACGCCAGTGGCTCAAGCCTGTAATCCCAGCTACCTGGGAGGCTGAGATCAGGAGGATCGTAGTTTGAGGCCAGACCAGGCAAATAGTTCTAGAGATCCCATCTCCAAAATAACCAGAGCAAAATGAACTGGAGGGGTGGCTCAAGTGGTAGAGTGCCTGCTTTGCAAGTGCAGAGCCCTGAGTTCAAATCCCAGTCTTACAAAAAAAAAAACCAGTCAAAAGTGCAGTGAGTGGAACCATTCTGCACTCAAGGACCCAGGGGCACGCTCTCGTAGAAGGTAAGTTGACTTAGGGCCCTGGAGTCGCGGCTGGGTGTTGTTACAAAATACAAACAAAGGCCCCTGTGTTCATTTGTTCAGTCTGACTCTTCTAACGACTGTGTAGGTGGGCGAGGCAAGTGAGTCATAGTTTCCTTTCAGCAGTGAGAAAAGAGAGGTTCAGAGAGGTGCAGCAGTTTTCCCAAAGACACACAGTGAGTCGTCTTCTGAACCATGGCTCCACTGTTCTTTGTAGCTCGGCTGCGAGGGAGCCTTACGGATGGCCACACGTTAGATTGCCTCTCTAGCGGGCTCTCGTCCCTCAACAGGATCGTGGGCAGCAGGCCGGGGAGAGCTCGCCCTGGTCTGATGGACATAAAGCTGTTTTTCCTTCCACACTCCCCCGAGAGACAGAGCGCTTCTGTGACCAGGTATGTGGGGCCCCTTTTTTCCCCCAAGCAGACACCAGCCAGGTGGCCCCCGGTTCTGACACTACCCGGGGCAGGGGGGGACGTGGTCAGCCAGACCCTACTGGCTAATGGCTCAGTCCCTAAAACAGCCCCGCCCGTTCAGAGGTCACCAGGAGGAGGTCCCACGCGACCCACTTCTGACACACTCGGCAACACATCGGAAGTCGCACTACTTAGTCTTGCCGAGCTGTTACAAAGGATCGGTATTATATATTTTTGTTGGTTTGATTTGGGCTTTTTTTTTTTTTTCAGGGGGGACGTGGTCAGCCAGACCCTACTGGCTAATGGCTCAGTCCCTAAGACAGCCCCGCCCGTTCAGAGGTCACCAGGAGGAGGTCCCACGCGACCCACTTCTGACACACTCGGCAACACATCGGAAGTCGCACTACTTAGTCTTGCCGAGCTGTTACAAAGGATCGGTATTATATATTTTTGTTGGTTTGATTTGGGCTTTTTTTTTTTTTTGGAGGTACTGAGATTTGAACTCAGGGCTTTGCCCTTCCTAGGCAGGTGCTCTACCACTTGAGCCTCTCCTCCAGCCCTTTTTAGTTTATTCTCTCAGGTAGGATTTCGCACTTTTGCCTATAGGACTGTGATCCTCCTACCTAGCCTCCTGAGTAGCTGGGATTACAGGTGAGCACTGCCACACCCAGCTTCTACAAAGGACATTTTAAAGGGCCAAATAGGATAAAGAGTCACTGACCATCCCTGTCACTCGGGAAATTATAGGGAGTTAGGAGTTCTGTGCTACCAGAGGGTAGAGACCAGAGATACAAATATTATGTCACACCTGGTCTCTTTAC